GGCGGCGGCGGCGGCCCCGGTGTGGGGGAAGCGGCAGCGGAAGGAGCTGAAGCGGCTGCGGCGGGGGTGAGCGGGGGAGGGGCACCGGGGGGCACCGGGGGCGGCACCGGAGCCGCCCTGAGCCCTCCCGGTGCCCCCAGCGCCCGGCGGCCGCGCCGAGACCGGGACGGAGACGGAGGAACGGCGGGGATGGAGCCGTGACACCGGGGACGGACCAGGAACACCGGGGACACCAGTCCCTGCCTCAGTTTCCCCAATCCCTGCCTCAGTTTCCCCTCTCCTGCCTCAGTTTCCCCTTTCCTGCCTCAGTTTCCCCTTTCCTGCCTCAGTTTCCCCAATCCCTGCCTCAGTTTCCCCGGTCCTGCCTCAGTTTCCCCAATCCCTGCCTCAGTTTCCCCTTTCCTGCCTCAGTTTCCCCTTTCCTGCCTCAGTTTCCCCAATCCTGCCTCAGTTTCCCCAATCTCTGCCTCAGTTTCCCCAATCCCTGCCTCAGTTTCCCCGGTCCTGCCTCAGTTTCCCCTTTCCTGCCTCAGTTTCCCCAGCCCCCGGCCCAGCTCCGGTCGCGGTGACCCCGATCCGTGTCCCCCTGTCCCCAATAAAGGCGCCCGCTCGCTCTCTCCGTCCGTCCCTCGCGTGTCCGTCCGTCCCGCGGCCGGGGCGCCGGACCCTTTTCGCGGTGGCACCGGCGGGGCGGCCGCTTCCGGCGGGGGCGCGCCCCGCGCACGCGCAGCCGCCCGGCCCCGCCGCGCTCGCCATGTCGGCGCTGTGCGACCCCCCCGGCGGCGCCCGGGCCCCGCTCAGGTACCGGGAGCCCCGGGGAGGGGCGGGGGGCCCCGGGAGCCCCCCCGGGAGGGACCCCCCGGACCGGCACCGGATCCCCCCCGGGCCTCCCATCCCCTTTTTTAATCCAAATTTCCCCCATTTTTCTTCTCATTTTCCCTTTTCTAACCCCATTTTTCCCCATTTTCCCCCTCCCTAACCCCCATTTTACCCCTCGTTTTCCCATTTTACCGCTTTGCTCCATTTCCCTCCCCTTATCCCTTTTTAACTCCTCTTTAACCCTTTTAAACCCCATTTTTCCCCATTTCACCCAATTTGTACCCCATTTTTCCCCATTTCACCCCTCCTTATCCCTTTTCTAACCCAAATTTCCCTTTTTTACCCCGTTTCCCCCCTCCCTATCTCTTATTAACCCATTTTTTCCCCATTTTTCCCCATTTCCCTGTTTCCTCCTTCCTATCCCTTATTAACCCCATGT